TCTATTTTAACTCTAGATTTGTTTTAAGTCACTGCTTGGCAATACACCCTCCATTCTGTAGGTATGATTTGCACTTTTCTTTCTAGATGTATGACGTGAATGTGATTTTATTAAAATATTTTGTGGGCTTAATTGTTTCATATGCTGGATTACTTCAGATCATTCTGTATAACTGTTCCATCTTTGCTCTTTATCATTCCACCTGTTTTTGTCAACTGTAATTGTTTTAAGATTGCATTAGCCTTATTTCAAAATCATTTATGAAAATGTTACATATTCAAAGTCCAGTGCCAACCCTGAGGAATCATATTAAAATTACTTGAGTTCCACAGTGTTTTCCCTTTTGTGACTATTTCTAGAGATTCGTGGGCCATTTTCTAATTCACTTTATTAATAATGTATAATGTTAATTTTTGGATCAGATTATCATATGCTTATGGATAAGTCAAATGCCTTATACAAGTCTAAATATATCCTCACAGTTATCTTTTTTTAAAGAAAATTGTGACCTCATCAAATAATTAAATAAGGTTTAGTCAATAAGATCTACTTTCTGTAAAATCATCATCACTGGCTGTAATTATATTCCAGCACTTATTTTTTAATTAATAAACTGATACAGGACTTAATTGAGAATTTGCCCATGTTAGATTAATTGGCTTGTAGTCATGCTGACTGTCCTACTTGCCTTTGTTGAAGGTAGGTGCACCAATTAGCAATCTGAGTTTGTTAAAGACACACAGCAGAGGCAGACATATCCTCAGGTAGCTGTAGCATGTCATTGATGTGTAAGAAAAATTTTGAACATGTCGTCAGAATATTTTATCATTGAAAAAGCTAATCTGGAGAAATTGTTTTTATCATATGAGACCTTTTTTATTTTAATACTGTTTTCAATGGAAGAAAAAAAAGAACCACAAAGTACTGTTAGTTAATAATTAACATATTGCTTAATACCAGCTTAACCAAAGCATCTCCTCTTCTAAATGAAATCCTTTGTCTTGTGTAAACAAAGAACATTAAATATAGTTTACAGAAAATCACTGGTAAAAGCAAGATGACAAAACATGGAGCAGGAGGATGATATAATTATTGGATTTGTCCTTATTTTCATGCCCCTTTGAAGTCAAATCAACCTGCATATAATTGAAATTCAGAGCATGTTTCCTTGATTCAAGGATAGATTGAGCATCTGGTAAGAGCAGTAACCTCAGTCTTTGTATTGGCAGAAGACAAAACTGAATCGACTTTAACCAGAAAGAGGCAGTGAAAATCAACAGCTTATGACTGAGAACTAAAGAGACAGCAGGGAGAAATTCAAATCTGAGCTCTTCTGAGGCATTGTCAGAGGTAGGTGAGAGGCAGCCTGGAACTGAGGTGGAATGGGCAGTCCCCAGAGACGACCGATTTGAGCTGCAGCTGTCATGCGAGTGGAGGAGCAATTATGGTGATGCTTGTATTCTCACTAGTGATGCAGGACCAAGGTTTTTGAAGTATGTTGACACTTAATTCTCTTGTAAATTGAGGGCATTATGAAGGGATTTGGCTGCCAGGATACCTCTAGTAATCTGTTCTTTCAGCTAAAATGTATTGAAGTGGACAAGCCCGTTTCATTGTTTAATTCAGCAAACTTCGAACTCGGCCTAAGTTCATCTGCTTGATTATCTGTTTTAGCAATTTTAACATGCAGGACTTCGTTTTTTTAAGTCAAATTGCGAAACCAGTATTTTATTCTATTCAGTGCTCAAGATAATTTGGTGACAGATAACACCACTGTTCCAGAACTGACATATACCTACTCCTCCTTCAAAGAGAAGAATCTGTGTCAACTCTGCAAAGTTACTAGGACAACAAGAGGGAACTTACGAATTCTTCTGCTCGAGGAGCAGCACTTTTCTTGCTGCTGCATTAATTATATTACTCTATATTTATCACAGTTCAGGAGAAAAGTGACAATTAAACTATGACACTTCTCTGGAGAATTGCCATTTTATTTAGAAACAGCGTGAAGTTGGGGGCGCATAATCAAAATTAAATGGAGACCCTTGCCACACTGTGCTATCAATTATACTTTAGATAAAGAGTTTTTTCCATCAGTGCCCAATTTAGGAATTAGTGTAGCTTTTGCTTTAGAAGTGATAGGAGAAGTTTTGGCAACCAAAATTTGGTTTTAAATAGAGCACAAGAATCAAAAGTAAAAAGTTACCTAAATTGTACATTTGTGCAGGGAAATGTGGGATAAGATCCTAGTACCAGAGATACTTGAAAAATTTATTTGAACTTCTTATTCTTCCATTGTGAAACATCGGTTCATCAAAACTGTGCGAAATTCTTCAAGGACAACCTTTTCCAACTTGAAAAATATATATGCCTTTTCATGATTTATCAAAATATCCTGTTTCACTTATTAGATTACTGAAATCAGCTCCTTGATTTATTTTACTTTTTTTTTTTTTTTTTGCAAAAGAATGATTGGTTTCACCTTGTCATCTTTATGATAATGTTTTGGATAGACCAAATATGAAATATTCTGAATGTCTCAAAGGAGGTTTCAGGTGATTAGTTGGAGAAAATGTGTAGATTCTTAACTTTCTGCCCAATGTGGAAAGGAGGAAAAAGTCCTAAGGATGGGTAAACTCACTTCTTGGACAACCTTGCCCCTCTAAGACTATAATCAGTCCTGTCTGACATTCCTGTCAGGAATCATGCTGTCTGATTGCTGAACATCATCCCTAAGGTACACACAGGTGGTGCTCTGTAATACACTTAATTGAAGGTTATATATGCACCTGTTTACTCTGTTTCTGGAGCAGCATGGCAAGGAAGCAATCTTCAGAACTGTTGTGACAGTGGCGGGGACGGTACCTTAATTTATTGCTGGGTGAGGCTGGCAGATAACTCCCTCTTCACAGGGAGCAAGGAGAAAGCAGGGAAGGATGTGCATTTAGATGCTTGCAGAGCTGATCTTCTAAAACTTGAAGCACTAAAGCAATTAAACTCACTTCTATCCTGTTTGATCATAATTGAAATAGCTGTGAAAATAATTAAAAGTAACTTTTTTTTTTTAACCTGAAGCATTGATAATCCGATACTTAAAAAAAGAAAGGACCACAAGCAGAGGACATGAGCAGCAGTATCAGAGTCAGAACAAGCTATTTTTTCCCAGAATCTTGCTCTATTTTCTCTATACTGCTTATTAGATAGCACTGAATATGTTGTAAGGGCCATCATGATACCCATGTGCACTATTACTTTTTGAATGCTTGATCTTATTTAATTGCCATCATATGATATTGTATCTAGAATTGCTTCAGTGCTAATTATGTAGAGGGAGATGATAGGATATCACAAATATCTAGAAAGGTCAAATATACCCACGATCCATGAATATCAGTACAGCTTTGTGAACAGATTCTAGTTTACATTTTTGGACTATTCAATTGCAAAATGAGCATAGTTACTATATTATGTTTACACAGTTAACAACAGGAGGAAAAAAATCAGCATTGTGCAAATATACTTCTGCAACTATGATAGTCCTGTGGAAACAGAATTAAAATATTCTTTGTCTCTAATTGAGACAAAATTGACTTTGATTCCTTATGTCTTCAGCTTGCATTATGAAGTCAGATGTCAACACAAATTATACATGAATAATAAACTTCATGAATTGGAAATCTAAAATAATATTTTAGGATCATACATAAAATTTCATACAGACATTTGAAACTAGTTTTGTTTTATGCTTTTAGTTTTGCCTTGCCAGTTTGTGACACAAGACAGAGGCCCTTCAAAGTCCACTTTTAAATAAATAAGGTTTGTGCTGCTTAGTTTGGCATCTGAGAATCATAGGCTTTGAAAGAAGACCCAGCTACAATAAATGACATTGGATTAACTAAATAAATGTGCTTTCAATATTTACAAAGTTTCTGACCTTAAGTTCTTTGAATATATCTCCTAATAAATTTAATGTATTGCTTCTTAGAAGCTTTGGATATTCTTATGTCATGAAATCATTTCAACAGATGGTTAATGTATGACCCCAGAATTTCAGTGGATATCGGCAAAGATTTGCTAGATTACGTTTATCCTTGGCTTAAACCCACTGAATCAGATCTTGCCAGGTAAGAAATGGGCCTGTGTGATCTACTCGATTGTAGTGTTCCTATCAAAAATTTATGTATATCCAGTATTCCTATGCAGTACCACAAATAATTTTAGCCGGTAATATATTGCAAATAGATTAAATTTTGTCACTGAAAGCTATTATTTTATGTGTTCCTCTTCAAAGACATGTACTTCTATCCTGCATTTTTTACAAATAAAAAGGAAATCTGCAACATTAATGATATTTGCAGGTAATGTGAAATTTGGAAGAGTTTTGAAAGAGGCAGAGAAATAAGTTGAACAGGAGAATAAGAGCAATTCAGAATACCTGCAAAAGATAGCTGTTCTACCTCTCAAAAAAAAAAAAAAAAAAAAAGAGGAGTGGACAGTGAATTATGGGAAGAAAGATCTTTTTATATGTCTCCTAAGACATGAGGATATTTAACCTTAGTTTGAGAAGATATGCCTCCTTTTTCTGTGACTTTTTGAGACCAGAAAAATTCTGTTTTGAATTCTGGACATCACAATACCAAAAATAAGCAGACTAGTTTTTAGTAGCTAAAGGACAAAAAAGTCAGGAGTTAGCAGAAGAGATGAAAAATAATGATGCTAAGAAGATTTTGTTATACTTAGCACCTAAATTGAAGGTACAGTTTTCAAAATTACTAAATACCCAGTATCTCCTATTCATGAGCCTAATATAATGGTAGTTTCTGTGTGTCTAATAACACTGTATCACCATTGTTATTCAGTTGCTGTAAAAGGATTGCAACGGACTTCAAGGTAGCCAAGATTTCTGCTGCATAGTTAGCTGGAAAAGGTATTTACCCAAAGAGGAAGCACAGGCTTTCTGGCTAGAGCACTTTTTGGGTATGTGGGTGACCTGACCTGGTATGCCCAGTTTGGAGCAGAAACTCTGTCACCGTTTAAGGCTGGGCCGGCTCTTAGCACGGACGCCCGCTCAGCTTAGCATACTGCAGCCCAGAACTCCTGGGCTCAAGCGATCCGGTGGGCTCAGCCTCCCGAGTAGCTGGGACTACAGGCGTGCACCACCGAAAAAACCGCCACTGGTTTTTAGCCAAACCAGGACATTCTCGAACTGAAATCTGCTTTGTTCAGGAAGTGGGGTGGCTGAGTCATCTTTCTACAGGTATTCTTTCTCTCAGTCTTTCCTCTTTTTCTACTTTTTATTAAAAATGTACAGTTACTTTTCAATGTGTTTTACCTATGAGGAATTAGAAAGAAAATCATCTGTTGTTCTTTATTCTCACACAAAAACTAAATTTGATTTATTCTTATTTTAGATCTACTTGTAAGAAGGCTCACAAAAGAGTGTTTGAAACAAACAAATGAAAAAAGCCTCTCTGCTGATTAATTTTCATTCCCACTTTCATCTTCTTGCTGGACCGTTTTGTCACTGCAGAGGACAGGATCTGCTACTATACCTGACACGCCATGCCCTCTCTTGTTCCCTAGTGTTTATGTTAGAGATGCACAGGGGCATCGAGCTGAATTTCAGCTCATGGCTTAGGACTAGACTATCAGAAGGAATGCCTCATAAAGATATGCGGAACAACTTGTGAAACAAGGGCAGATTTGTGCCCTCAGGCACCGCTCAGGAACACAAATTGCACTATCTTAGAAACAGCCCAGAGCTGCCCCATAGCAGCCCCGTCTCACCCAGAAGATGGTCCCTCACCTTTCGGAATCTCCCTCAGCCAGAAGAGTCCTGGGCAATGCTTCTGCAAGCACTGCTTGCATTTTGCAAGGAGGGTAATTATTGTCAGCATTTAAAAATCTTTTGTTGCTTTAAAGGAAGGCAAAGGAACAGCATAAAAATTTTCCCCAGATGGCAGCTTCACAGATGAGAAGGTGCTGCCTTCTCTCACTTTGTGATTTGTTGAAAGCTTCCTACTCTTTTGCTGCTTTAATTTCATCTTGTTGGCATGTTCCCAGTGAACCTGTTTTCCCCATATGTGAATATTCTTTTTTCTAAACCAAGGTAACACCTTTGGCAAATGTCCCTGGATGTAAATGGCTCGTTCCTTTTTCTGTTTTATCCATCAAACATGTTTTTATGTGCAGTCCCTCAAAAGGCCAACATAAAAGCACCATGTTATTTGACCACTTTGTTCTTGTGCGTAAATAGTTGCTCATCGAGGATCTTTCCTTGCATCTAGGGCAAATGGTAAGTGTAGTTCACATCTCTTGCCTTTCTGAGGCTTCAAGATAATAGACATATTCTCAGATTCCTGAGATAAATTTTTCACCTGTTTTTGTGCATAACTGGGCTATTGCCAGATGATGGGTATGCATCACAGTGTATGGTCTGCTTATTTGTATGAATAAAGGGAAAAAGAATTGAAGTTTATCCCATTGTACATAGAATGAAGGAGGACAGAGAGAAAGTAAAGATGCTTTTGCCACAGATACTTATCTTTTTCAGGACTGAACTTCTACGTCGCCTGTTGCCTAGTAAAAAGAGTCTGGCACAGTGTAAAATACCCAAGTAAAGACAGACTGGCTATGCCTGTTCTAGTAAACAAGTGTGCCAGGGTGTGGGTTGTGGCTTTGACGGCAAATGACATGGCACTATTGGCATCTGGCTTTTTCCCCTCCCCAGAGCGGCCTCATCTATTTCCCAACCTGGACATAGTCTGGGAGATTAGTAGTTCATGTAAGACAAAGCTGTACTAGAGAAGCCAACAGTTCAGCAATATGGGCAATCATGGCAATCTTGGTCTGTCTTTAAATTATATTTTATTATTATAGGTGTAGCCTCAAAACCAACTGAATTAACTTAGACCAGATGGAGTGCTGTTTAAAAGCACCTAAGGTGTCTGGACAGAAACCAATAGATTCATTCACATTTTAGCTTGGCCAAAGTCCTGCTTAAGTTCTGATCAAGTCTTGTTTTTCCTTCCATAAGAAGAAAAGGAAAGGCCTCCTAGAATAGCTATTAACCCTTCACTTGGAGAACTTCCCAGGAGTATAGTAAGCCTGGGTCCAGCTTCTTCCTGGACTGACTGATTTGAAAGAAAGATTTGAACCCACATCTGCTTCCACTTTGGAGGAAGGAGATGAAGAGTTCTTTGTCTGAAGGTCATGTTTTGGAGCTATTCTACTTTGTATTAAATGATTAGCCACAGAGCCAGAGAGGGTGAGAGTAAGAGCAGAGTCAGATATGTTCATGTATTTGGAAAAAGAGTGGTGAGCCTGCTTAGTTGGATCTGCAGCTGAGACACAATGTCTGATCCTGTGTATGTTTGTAGTCATTTGTGATACATAGCAAATCAATAATAAAGCTAATGTATGTTCCTTCTTCTGCTGAAGTACATTTCTAAAAGATGTGAATTTGACAGCTTACAATTAGGTGATTGTGTAACTGATTGTCAATGTGAATATTTGTCTCTTCTTCAATAGAAATGGATGCGGGAAATGGAACCATTACTGAAGCTATATCCTCGTTGATACTGATGACTTGTAATTTGGAGTTTATTTTGCTGCGTCACTGTGCACATCTGTCTAAATTCTCATAAAGAGAAATATATATGTATGTTATTGTATATAAATAATCATGGAATAGATTTTCTGACTTCACATCAGACCTCTGCACATTAACCAACACTTCTAAGAAGGTCATTGATTTCATTTAAACAACTTTTGTAGATGCTTAGCATAGAGAAAATAAAGAGGTAGAGAGATGTATTTTCTTTTTCTCATTAATTCTGTTAGACACATAAAGACTGTAGAATAATTAACATTTTGACTTAGAGTAAATATAAATTAACCTCATAATTTCTTAGGTGAAAGCTTGATGAATAAAAGCTTGATAATAGTGCTAGAAAAGTGTTCCGAATTTCCATGGATATAAATTTTATGGTCAAGGAATGGGAGTGAGAAGGAGGGTTATACATCAAACACTGACATTCTCTTTCATCTAACAGGTTTCATCTTTCTAGCTTTCAACATCAAGAGCTAAAGACAGACCCTAATGACGGCGATTAAGATATGCCCTCTTACATCAGGCCTGAAAGTTATGCCTGGTTACTTGAAGGGGAATAATAAAAACCACATAACCATATTTTACTTGGCTACAGCTCTCCTTACATTAACCAACATACTGCAGAAAAGTTATGGGGTAATGAAATTTTATATGAGGGCTTTTAAACATAAAACGAGTGTAAATTACTGAAAATTTATGGCTCATTTATTCAACTACTGTAGCATTATTCTGGCCAGATCAAACATTTGGCTAGTGGACTAGGAGTTAAATTTATTTTTTTTAGAGGACAAAAGAAATCAATAAGAAATAGTGTTCTCAGGGCTGTAGTCAGCATGACCTCTGTCTGTTGTGGCTTCTTCTGTTCAGCTATAAAAGCTAGGTCCTGAGCCTACAGAAAATTCTTCAGTGGAATAAAGAAGGAGCAGTCATTATTTTTACCAGTGTATTCAAGCTGTTAATTAAAATGAGACTTAAAAGAGCCTATACCTGGAAAATTAGGCCATAAACTCTAGTCTCAAAATACTTAAAACATCTCACAGCTGCAGTTAGGATGGAATTAATTGGGGGCAAAAATCCTCAGCTTTGCTCATTGGTGATTTCCAGGATCTAAGTGTATCGTTCCAAGATGTAAATCTGAGAACATCACAGTGTTAATTAGTAGATCTTTTGGTCAGAATTTAAGAGGGACAAACAGTATCAGACTAAAGAACTGCCTAGCTCTGGTCCTAATGATGCTTGAGGAAGGAGAGCAATATACAAGACGGGTATTTTCCTGTTCTCTCTTGCTTCTTGCACACATCCTAACCTGTCCCAAAGCCATGCATTTCTAAGAGTTAGTAGATTTATCCACTAACTATAGTGGATACGGAGCTTAAGATTACAGACCCCTTTATGTGGATTTTAAGCAAAGAACATCATAGTCTTCATTTCCATTTCTCTTCCTTCAAGGAAAGATACTGTATTTTCTTTTCTTGCTTCACTCTTTCAGCACTTGCCACCTTCCTCATTAGATATGCAGGTGAAGTGATGGGAATGGCTTTGGCTTAGATGTTCCTGCTTCCTTCTGCCAGGAAGAAGTTCTCTGTTCAGAGTCATGTCCCAGATCAGGTTGAATTTGAGTATCACCCATAACAGACAGATGCACGAAACATTGTCACAATGCGTACTCCTGTCTGTTGTGGTGATGAGATGGTAGGACTATGACAGTGATTCTTCTGGGACTGCATTACCCAGGTGCAGAGCACCTATGTATCCTAAGTGCTGAGATGGGACAGAAAGAAAACCTGAGAGGGAATTTGTATTGCAAGTTGTGTAAACTGGCAATTCCAAGGCCACAAAAATAAAATTATCTATGGTTCAGCACTTGGAGTGTCAAATTCTAGGGTACAGCTTGTACCTATCTCCTCTGAAACCTGTCATGTACCTCAGAGAGTCAACAAAGTGTACAAGCTCGACTGCATCAGCCCCATAAATCTCTGCCCTCATAGACAAAGCTGTGGTCCTGCAGTCCAAGCTGAAGCCATATATCAAAAATAATGGAAGGTGTTCTTCCTGTCCTAGTTCTTTGCCTGATATACTTCAGTGAAGTTAAATACAGCTCCATAGCCAAATAAAATAAATTTTTGGCAAGTGTGAATAAGGATGTATGGAGAGAAAAATATTTTGATTTGTCTACTCAAGTGACATATAAACTCTTCTGAAAATTGAATTTGCTTAAACGTCAAAGCTAATTCACATGAGATCAGGAGCTCTATGTTTTGAAAGAAGTTCATGTCAGGACAAACCTGCTTTCCAAATATTGTTACAAACCTAATACAAAGGTTCAAGTTGATTCCCCTTCTCCTGGAGTCATGGCAGCTTGACTGGATGGGACCTGGTGACTGCTCTCTAACTACCCCCAGGCAGACTTTCCTAGCAGGGGAGCACTTTGAAAACGTCACAGATAGTCATAATATTTGAAATTGCAGGCACTATTAAACATGTGGCGTTTATTAAGGAACATTAAAAAATACCAATAAATGGCTTCTGTGCAGTTTGAGACCTGGCTGTATCAGAGGCAAAATATTTAGCAAAACATCAAGAGATTTTAATGACTGA